CTGCATCCCTGCCTTTCTGCAGAATGATTTCAGTGACATGGGAAATCATGCCCTAAAAAACCTGTAGCAGAGCCATGCCCATAGCCCATAGTACTCATCATTCTAGCACTCCATACACTCAAGACTGAAACATCGTGTTGGCCTCCTTCCCTTCCTTGAATCACTTCCCCACCCCCCTATCAGTGCTCCCTGGGATCACCTCCCAACAAACTACCTGACCTCCATCCTTGTTTCAGGGTCTGCTTCAGGGCAAAACCAGTCTAAAACATGGTCCCTCTTCTTACCCAGACTAATAAGAAATGGGTTTTTTGTCACTAGCAACCAAGAGTTCTACCTATTACCTCATTCTGGGATGATTTGCAAAATCTATTTGGAATTCATCTCCACTCCAGTGACTATGTCTTAAATATACAGATTTCTCTAAAAAGTTTAATGGTATTCTTTCCTTTTTTTTTTTTAAAGATTTTATTTATTTATTTGACAGAGAGAGATCACAAGTAGACAGAGAGGCAGGCAGAGAGAGAGAGAGAGGGAAGCAGGCCCCCCGCCGAGCAGAGAGCCCGACGCGGGACTCGACCCCAGGACCCCGAGATCATGACCCGAGCCGAAGTCAGCGGCTCAACCCACTGAGCCACCCAGGCGCCCCCCCCTTTTTTTTAAGAGAGGGAGGAGGAAGGGACAGAGGAAGAGGAAGAGAATCTTAAGCAAGCTCCACACCCAGCAGGGAGCTCAACATGGGGCTCCATCTCACAACTGTGAGACCATGACCTTAGCCAAAATCAAGAGTCAGATGATTAACCAATGGCGCCACCCAGGCACCCCAAAAAGTTTAACGGCATTCTTGAAAATTAACAAAGTTTAATGGTATCTTTGAGTTTGACACAACACACTGCAATTCTATAACAGTTTCCATGACTACTATATGAACCACACAAAAGAAGGTAAGAACCACAGATGGGTGGGGGAACCTGGGTGGCTCAGTTGGTTAAACGACTGCCCTCAGCTCAGGTCATGATCCTGGAGTTTCAGGATCGAGTCCTGCATCAGGCTCCCTGCTCATCGGGGAGCCTGCTTCTCCCTCTGACCTTTACCCTCTCATGCTTTCTCTCTCACTCTCTCTCTCTCTCAAATAAATAAATAAAATCTTTAGGAACTAGAGATGGCTGCACTTGCAAGAAAAAATGACAGTCAGGATGGTATGGCTAGAAGATGCTTGTGGAACTGAGACACTCAAGCCTCATGTCCCACAGCTGAGTACTAGACAGCTTAAAAACATAGTGGCCGAAAGAGATTGACTCTCTCCTCCATATTTCATCCTCCACTCCATCCACAGTGCTCAATAAATATTTGATAAACAAATGATGGATTTATGCTTTCCAAACCAAAACTTACCAAAAAGAAACCAGGCACACTACAATGCTGTGACCATAAGCATCACAGTGACCATAATGAGAATTTTCTGTAGCCAACCACCTCCACCAAATTCTGCTGATTACACCAAATATGGCACTTCAGGGATGTTTCAGTGGATGTGGCAGACTGTTGCATGACTGCTAACTATTTTTTTCTGTGTTTCCAACATATAGAGATATGTATAGATTGTCCCAAAAAGGGCCTACCTGATTACAATTACACAATTGTATATAATTCCCAAAGGGCCAAATCACTTAGTACAAGTATTCCAGTCACCTTGGAGAATCTACACACCAGGGACTCAAGATTCTCTCCTTGGACAGTCCCAGTTCTGGGATCAACAGCAACTCTGCTCCAGGTCTGGCCTTCTCAAGGGTAGTATACATTGTTCATAGCCACCAAGGGTATGCAAGGACACAAACTACAGATAACAATGCTTTATTGCCCCTCAATTATCTGTCCCTCCCATATGGTGGAATGCCAAGGAATACCAAGTCAAATTTGTCCAAGCACAAAATAGTACCATTGGCATCATCAGATCAAATAACAAAACTTTCAGGGGCAATTTATCATCACACCACGAGCAACCAACAACTGTTAAGCACTTATACTGCTAGGGACCAACGTAAATGCTTTACCTGCTGCTTTAGCCAGGATAGACTGGGTTATCCCACAGTAACAAATGAACCCCAAAATCCAAATGGCTCAGCAACAAAGGTTGATTTCCAACACTCCATTCTACTATGGATTGGCTAGAGACTATGCTCCTTGTGGTCAATCAGAGACCCAGAATGATGGAAAGCCTATCATCTTAACACAAGACTTCCAGTTAATGGGGTGGCAGGGGATGACAGTGAAATGGTTAGGTACCATCCCTAGACAAATGTAGACTGGAAGTGATGCATGTGGCTTCCACTCACAGCACATAGGCTGCAATTACAAAGGGGCTGAGAAATTAGGGGGAGAACATGGATATCCCATTAGCAGTTAACATTCCTACCAATCAATGTACAGTATCTCATCAAAGTTTTACAACCTTCAGAAATATATCATTATTCCTTTTTACAGCAGAGAAAACAGAGACATAGAGGTTAAGCGACTTACGCCAAGGTGTCATAGATAGTAAGTGGCAGAATCAAGATGTGAACCCAAGCTTCAAAATATGCTCAACCTGGAAAGCTTCAAAACACACTCAACCACAATGCTGCATACTCATCACAAAATTCTATGCAAATCACTCAAATAGCAAAACATATGCTAATTAGTAGGAGAAGCCAAGGTATACAGATAAAAAATAGAGCTCCCCTGACATACCACTTCTTCACCCTGAAGATTTAACCTAAGCAAAAACCTGAAACAGAACTCCAGGCAATTGCAGCAAGGGGGAAATAGGTTATCCACCTGGGTCTGATATCCAGCCTTCAGTACACCTACGTCAAGACAAAAATCTTCCAAAAACTTCCCCTGAGTACCTAAGCAGACCTTCAACTCCTGTCCATTGATGACATCTTTATACAAGGCACAGATCTTTCTAAAAGTGCAAAGGTAAATGTCACCCATGTATCTGCAGGAAGAGGCCAGAGGCAGATGTTGTCATGTCTAGATCAGTGGCTGAGTGACAGTGCTTCCGAAAGGTTAATTCCTCCCAGCCTACAAAACTCAAGTCTAGCACCACCTCCTCCAAAAAACCCTCCCCTACCCAGCTTCTCCAGGTTGGGACCCTCTACCTCTGCTCCCACATCACTTCTCACGCACATCTCTAGCAGGGCCCTTCTATTGCATGTAACACTTTACTTGTCTGCCTGTCCCCTGGACTCTGAGCCACCCAAAGGTAACCTCTTCATTTATATTTCTGTATCTCTTACACCTAGGACTCAAAAAATGTGGGGTGAATGGGCAGATGCTTAAGAGTATTCAAAGCAATTTGTGTCCTTGGGGAATTTAACACACCCCTCCCATGCCCAGCAACCATATGGCCAAGTGTAAAAACTACAGTTCCAGGGGCGCCTGGGTGGCTCAGTGGGTTAAGCCTCTGCCTTCAGCTCAGGTCATGATCCCAGGGTCCTGGGATTGAGCCTCACATCGGGCTCTCTGCTCAGCAGGGAGCCTGCTTCCCCCTCTCTCTCTGCCTGCTGCTCTGCCTACTTGTGATCTCTGTCTGTCAAATAAATAAATAAAATCTTTAAAAATAATAATAATAAATAGGGGGCACCTAGGTGGCTCAGTGGGTTAAGCCTCTGCCTTCAGCTCAGGTCATGATCTCAGGGTCCTGGGATGGAGCCCCGCGTCAGGCTCTCTGCTCAGCAGGGAGTCTGCTTCCCCCTCTCTCTCTGCCTACTTGTGATCTCTCTGTCAAATAAATAAATAAAATCTTTTAAAAATAATAATAATAAATAAATAAATAAATAAATAAATACAGTTCCAGCCTCACATCTGCTCTGTGAACTTGAAGTGGTTCCATAGCCTCTCTGAGCTGTTTACTTAGCTACTAAGTAAACACCACCTCATAGATATGTTGCAAAGATTAAGTGGAAAGCAGAGGGTATTCAAACAAATATTCATAGCAGCACTATTCACAACAGGCAAAAGATGGGAAAAAATATATATTGATCAGCTGGTGAATGGATATATGAAATGTGGCATATCCACATAGTAGAATATTAACAAGCCATGAAAAGGATGAAATGTCGATGCATACCACAACACGGATAAACCTTGAAAACATTATGCTCGGTGAAAGAGGCCAAACACAAAAGACTACATACTTTATGATTCCATGTATATGAAATGTCCAGAGGAGGTAAATCCAAGCAAAGCATATTAGTGGTTACCAGAGACTAGGTAAGGGAGGGATGAGGAAGGACTGTTAATGGTCATAGGGCTTCCTTTTGATGGGATGAAATCAAGTTCCAGAACTAGATAGAGGTAATAATTGCACAACATTGTAATGCACTAAATGTCACTGAATTTGTACATGTCTGAAAGGTTAAAATGGTAATCTTATCTTATCTGCATCTAACCACAGTAACTATTTAAAATTCTTATGGAAAATTTCCAACCAATAACCTACCTTAGATTTTTTTTAAAAAATTAAATGGAATAGATAATGTGTATATAGTTCCTGGCCCTCTCAGGTCCTCAATCCATGGTGGCTGCTTTCAGAGTCAAAATGAAAACAATAATTTGTTCTCCCCACAAAAACAGAATATACTGAGCAAAGGAAAACACCAGTCTTTTTCCTCAAATCTTCACAATATTGTAATTGACATAAAAGTCCAAAGTATTTCACATGGTTTGATTTCTATTACCATGGTGAAATATGCACAAAATAAAATTTACCATTTTTACCATTTTACAGTGTACAGTTCAGGGGCATTAAACGCATTCACAATGTTGTGCAGCCATCACCACCATCCATTTCCAGAACTTTTCATCACGTAAAACATGACATCTTGTTACACTCCAGGTGTTTTAATCCACAACAGAGCTCAGGCACAATTATCAATTTGGACTTTGTTCAACCACAGATAAAAAAGGGAGAAAATGGGAGCATGCCCATGAACTCTGTGATGTGTGGTGCTCGCAGCATGACAGGGCTTGGGGTCCTCACACTGCTGCTCTCTGTCCTGCTGGCCTGGGCCAGCTGCCACCCTGTCCCCGGGAGGAAGAACTTCAACAAGCTGCTGCTGATCTCCTTCGATGGCTTCCGCTGGAACTATGACCAGGATGTGGACACCCCCAACATGGACCGTCTGGCCCGGGAGGGAGTGAAGGCCAAGTACCTCACGCCACCCTTTGTGACAATGACCTCCCCATCCCACTTCACCACCATCTCTGGTAAGTTTCAATCTGTAGCCAGTCCACCAATGCTGGTGGAAGCCCCAGTATCTGTCATTCCCTGAAACAGAGCCCAATCTCAGTCAGCCCTTGGGAGACTGAGGCAATTCATGCAACTGGAAGAAGCACTAGCTTAGAATATTATGGTTTCCTCTCAATAAATGTAAAAAAAAAAAAAAAAAAAAAAAAAGAATATTATGGTTTCTAAAACCCTGCTGGCTACAGGGCACCAGCCTGCAGAGAGAATCAGGACCATAGCTGCAGCCTCTCCAGCCCCAATTCCCTGCTCCCCACCCTCCATCCACGGTGGCTAATGTTCCTTCCCAAAACTAAATCATTAAAAGAACTTTATAAAAATAATAAAAAATTAACTTTAGAGAACTAGATTAGATTAGATGACTTCCTGGCTTATTATTGAGGAGTTGGAGCAACACCAGTGTTCTATGGGCCTTTTCTGGGGATTTTTTTGTTTGTTTGTTTTTGGGTTTGGTTTTTTTTAAGATTTTATTTATTTATTTATTTATTTGACAGACAGAGATCACAAGTAGGCAGAGAGGCAGGCAGAGACAGAGAGAGGGAGAAGCAGGCTCCCCGCTGAGCAGAGAGCCCGTCGTGGGGCTCCATCCCAGGACCCTGGGATCATGACCTGAGCTGAAGGCAGAGGCTTCAACCCACTGAACCACCCACGCATCCCTTTGTTTTTGTTTTTAAAGATTGTATTTCTTTATTTGAGAGAGAGAGGGAAAGCATGCGTGGGGTGGAGGGGCAGAGAGAAAGGGAGAAGCAGACTCCCTGTTCAGCAGGGAGCCTGACATGGGACTTGATCTTAGGACCCCAGGATCATGACCTGAGCTAAAGGTAGACACAACCAACTGAGCCACCCAGGTGCCCCATCAATGTGATCTTTGAAGAGAATTCAAAATTATCTTTCTGTGGCCCAGAAAGTCCCATGACCTGGCCCCTGACCCACTCTCCTTTGGCCGCTCTCATCTCTCTTCCCTTCACTCGGTTCTCTCCAGATCACAAAGGTAATTTGCTTATATCTCCACCCAACCCCCAACTGCCTCAGGGCCTCTGCCCTCACCAGTCTCCACAGATCACCTGGAGCATGTAGTCCAAATGGGGGAGATAGACGTTAGACAAGAAGATACACTAACAGATCTCATTGCAACCAGGAGAGGCATTGAGAAGGAAGAGGAGAGTTTCTTCAGAAGACAACAAGGGAAACTGACTTGAAATTGGAGGCAGAAAAATGCTGAGAAGGAACAGTTGAACTGAGAACTGAAAGAGACCTCAGGAGACAAAGAGAAAGGAAAAGTATTCAAGGCAGCAGGAAGGGTATGTTCAAGGTCTCTGTGAGAGGAAGGATTGTGGTCATTCCAGAATCCCAGTTGCCAAAATGCAATGGATTTCACTAAAGTAAGAATAAGAATAGTTTCTGTTCCTCCAACATGGGCCTGAAGCTGGGCATGTGCTAGGTGCTTTGGCTTCTGTATCTCCAGTACAAAAGTACTGCAAAGCAAGTGTTGTCCCCATTCCAGAGATGAGAAAACTAAAGCTCAGGCTGAAAAACTCATCAGTCACTTGGCCAAGAAGTGGGCAAGAGGGAAGCCAGGTCTGGAACGAGTGTGTCCCTAGCCACCCAGAACTAAGTTCTGCCCAGCTATGAGCCTGGGATCCACATGGATACTACCTCTCATGGGGTAGGGAATGGTGCCTGGCAGCGTGAGCCTCACCCCTACCCAGAGAACCACTCCCTTGGGGTCCACGGCATCTCCAGGAGCCTCTGAAATGAGACAAAACTGCTGGTATGTTTTTCAGAAGAGGGTTTTATCACTTCCATCAGACTCTCAAAGGGGCCCTTGAATCAGAAACTTAAAAAATAAAGCTGAACAACCACTCAGAGGGATATTTGCTGAGAGAGATTTTCCTATATGTAAACTCTTTGAGAGGCAAGTCATTTGGGAACTATTAGTGCCAGGAAACAGGAACTAAATAGCCCTTTTCTGAAGAAAGTGAGTGCTACTTCCCAGTGGCATTAACTTCATCATACTTAAAAGATCTCCCATGGGCAGATTCTGGGTCCCTGAACACTGAGAATATGATGGGCACAAAATATTATAAGGCATGCCCACCTTTTATTTATTCCCAAAAGGTTTTCAATGAGAAGATATAAACAGTAGGAGCAAATTTTAAAAATTATAAAATCACTATAGCTCCTCTCCTACACTCATTGCCAGTGGGGAATGGAAATGGGTCCAGTTGCAATGCAGGGTAATTTGGCAACAACTAATACAATCAGGAACATACAAATTTTCTTATTTGGCAATTTCACTTGTAGGACTTTATCCTACAGATATATATCTGCTGGGTAGAAAACGATGTACAGTGTACATACGAAGTTATTCATTGCATTGGCATTCATAACCACAGCAAAAATAGAAACAAGCTAACTAGCCACCCATAAGCGAATGGCTAAATAAAATACCAGACATCCATGGAATGGCAAAATCTGTTACCTTTAAAAGGGAAAATGAGGTAGTTCTTTGTGCCCTGATAGGAAGCTATCTCCAAAATGGATTACGTGACAAAAGCAGGAGGCAAAGAATGTGTGTGTTTATATGTGTTCATATAATATAAATGTATACATATGTGCATACAAACCTCTGGATAAATAAACAAGAAACTGGATATACTGGTTCCTCCAGGAAGGGCAGGGGGTGGGAAACTTTGAACTGTAACCCCTGTGTACTTTTTAGATCTTGGACCATGTGAAATGTATTACCTACAAATAACAAAATGCCATACACCAAACAACCTTTTTAATTCGCCCACTGTGGAAAGAACATGTTCTTTTGAACCCTCAATTTATAAGCAGACTTGCCATTTATTGAGCAGGTGAACATTCACTCTGCTTCAACTTTAGAAAAGGTTTTTCAACGCCAGCACTATTGACATTTGGGACCAGATTTTTCTCTCGTGGGGTAGGGGGAGTATCATGTGCACTGTGGAATGCCAAGCTCATCCCTGGCCTTGTAAACCCACTAGATAGATGCCAGGAGCACCCCCTCTTCCCAATGTGACAAACAAAAATGTCTCCAGACATCGCCCAATGTCTGCTCAGGGAGCAAACTGGCCTCCAGCTGAAAACCCCTGCCTTGAATGGTGGAACCTAACACCTGGGTTATGAAAATGCCGAGCAGGTACCATCATCATCAAATCCTTCAATTCTTATAATCGTGATTTGAAGTCAGGACAGTTACACTCTTTACAGGTGAGATATCTGGGTTCAAAGACATACAAATCTTTTCTGGGACAGAGGTAAGATTCTTACCAACCTCTGGATGGTTACAGACACTGATTTCTTAATCCCTGCCCTCCAGCATGACTATGACCCACCAGTGTCTTTGATTCTAATTATGTAATCATTCCAAACCCCTCTGAATATTGCCCATCCTCATAGCTTCTAGGAAAACAAGTATATATCTTGAGTATGTTGTTAATGAAACAAGAGGCCACCCCAGGCCCAATAAAATCCCCAGCATTTGTCTTCATGAGCTGGGCTCAAACAGATCTTTGTATGACTCCAGTGTGGGAAAGAATCATCCATAATAGAAAAAATAATGGATAAAATTCATGCTGCCAGCACCCAAAGACCTCATCAGATTCCGTGGTATAGGCCCGACACAAAATATGATAAAGGGGGCTCTCTCAGCTCAACAACTAATTAATCGGTATTCTTGCGAACACCTCCAGGCAGTTTAACAGGAAAGAGAGGTGATGAGGAGGAACCTGTCACACAGCTTCACGTCTCAGCTGCAATACGACACACAGCTCCAGCACAGATTCAGGTCCGAGAAGCCATGTGGCCACTCCTCTGAGCTTCCTAGACAGAGATCAAGGGGCAAGGGCCAGGTGGTCTCAGGCAAGGATCAAGGCCAAGAAAAGCCACGTCCCAGGCACAGGGACCCATGAGCAAGCCTCCCTAAGACAACTGACTTAGCTGCCCAGGGTCAGGACTGTGGACCTCCTACAGCGTCTGCTGCCTTCATCTGGCAGCCAGACCTCCTCATGGCTGGGTGCTGTCAGGTGTGTGGATATCTCAGCCCCCCACCCCACAGCCAAGGTCACATGGCTCTCATCAGTTTTCCCTGATGCTGGTAAAGAAAGTCTTCCTGGAGAGTTTTTTTAAAGGGTTTCCAACATATTCATTCCTTCATTCAACAATTATTATTTGAGCATCCCCTTTGGGACCCCTTTGGGACTGTAAGCTGGTACAGTGGCCAACTACACTTAAGTGTTTCCAAGGTCTTGCCACTTAACAGGGCTTGGCCCATGACACAGGCTCATGTCCCCTATGTTCCCAGATCCAACAGATCCCACGGATCTTTTGGGGGGGGGTGTTTCCTTTTCTCTGTCGCTCTGCCAGGGAGAAAGATGAAGAGCCCTTTCTTATGGATCCTTCTGCCTTTTTGTTTCCTTTCTCTGACAGTTCAGGGAATCTGACAGGCAAATGTGTTCTCACTCAGCTGTGTCCCCCCAAAAACTTTTTCTGCACCCCAGCTCCTCTATGGGACAGAGCTTAGGAGAAATACCCACAGTCCATGCTTTCTTCCATGGCATTCTCTCCTTTAAGCAGAGAGGACAAAAGTCCTCAGCAAAAAACTGAGGGAGGGAGGATTTCTTAAATGTCCTACCTTATCAACTCTCCATGTGGGACAATCTGCATCCTTACAAAGAATGTGCATTTTTCCTCCAATTATCAGCCCTCGCAGCACCACCTGCAAGAGGTGGAAGTGGGGCACCTATCTAGGATCAAAGCTCCCAAGTGCAAAGCAAGCCCTGGCTCTGGGGGAAACATTTTCCCTCCAGCTCCCCAACACTGGGCACTGGGCAGGCCTGCATGTTAATCAACTTCGCTCCCTCCCACAAGAAATGAGTCATTATAAGATAAGATGTTTTTTTCTTCCCATCTGGCTTCATCACCCCCACCCCCAACA